CTATACAAATTATTAGACAGCACAAGCCTTGTTCCAAATCCTTGCAATGCAGAACCCCCAACTGAGTTTGCAACAAGACTCTCAGGCTTGTGTCTGCCCTTTCCACACTTCTAACCTTTGAATCTATACTGGAAATTGTATTATGAGAATTGTGTCTAAGATGAGGAGTAAAGAGCCTAAATCTGCCAGCACTTAATAAAAAAGGCAGGAGTCCTTTAAATCCTGGTTTATGGGAGATCCACTGCATTTCAGATACCAATATGCTGCGGAAATGTCTGTGACTCCATAGCCAAAAAACAAAGCCTTTGAACACTTCTTCCTTGGTGTCTCAGGATTCAGTGAAAACCAAGCTTGGACAGCAGGGCAATGAGACAATTACCTTTAGTGGATGCCATCTGCAAGATGTTTGGGGGAAGGTGTGACATCAATTGTGAGAAATGAGGACGGGGAGGATCCTCAAATGGCTTAATAAAATACAGTGAACAAGTTGCTTGGCACAGCTGAAATCAAAGGTATCTGAAGCTTGGAAGGCATATTCAGGCCCCCACACTTTCTCTCACTCCCTGAAAGATGGGTGGCTTTAATTGTTTTAGTGTGGGAGATAGCCCTAGTAGTCAGGGGAAAGGCCATGATAGCAGATTGGAGCAATGCTCCTGAAATTATTTCTGTCACAGGAATGTTAAGCATGCTCCATCACTGCATCTGCCCAATTCCATGATCAGCCTTCAGCATAATGAGAAATAACAATTCACCACAAATCATAAAAATGTAATGGGCTATAAATGTCAGAGATGTAGAATGGAGAAATAACTGACTCTGAAAACCATGTCATTGTGAGTCACATGTCATTCTATACTTTAATACATACATAAATGCACACTGAAAGAGTATTAAGGTCGCATACTCAAGGACTCAAAAGTTAGAAAATGCCAGAATTAAGGTTTTCCATGAACATCTTAATTCAGCCTCCTTGTGTGTACGCATTATGATATCTTCAGTTATATGTTTCCCCCCTCCTGCACAAGAGGACTCCTGCTTCATTCAGTGCACAGTCTGGATGGTGTTGACTCATTCAAAATTTTTTAATCCTTATTCGTTATGTGGCTTCAGGCCTTATTTATTGCACACAAGTCAAACCCTGAACTGAATACAGAATTATTAATATCCTCACAACCTTTTCTATAATGCCCATCACCACAGTGTCGCCACAACAATGAATTTATCTGCACAACATTCCTGTAAGGTAAGGTGATATTATTCCCAATTTGCAGACAAGGAATGGAGGCACAGAGATTAAAGCCAAAATTGCCTAAAATGTCCATTATTTGGGTTCCCAACTTAAGATGCCTAGGGGGCCAGATTTTTTAGTTGATTCTTCGTTTTTAGAGCATGTGTATTGTACTTTATATAGTCAAAGCACAATTGTTGTTCTGAGCACTCAGCACTTCCAAAAATCAGACCTCAGCTATCTTGAGTCAGACACCCAGAAATTGAGGCCAGCTGTGAAAAGTTTGGTTTAAATAACTTGCTACGCATCACATAGAAACTCTGCGGCACCAACAGGGATAGAATTCAGTGTTCTAAGGTGGCATCAAATTAACTCAACCGCAAAATTAACTCATCTTTTCCTCTTTCTACAATACCATCTCCTTCCTGATACACTTTTCAATACTTCAGCAAATGAGGCGGGGGTTCTATAACCTATAGCCTCATCCACTACACAACACAGATTCATTTCCAGAGCACCATCTATCCCAGGGGTGGGCAAACTACGGCCCGTGGATTTGCCCCCCCGCCGTGCCACGGGATGCAGGGATGTGGTGCCGGCCACTTCCGGGAGCGGCACGGGGCCAGGGCAGGCAGGGAACCTGCCTTAGCCCCGCAGTGCACTGCTGCCACCCTGGAGCCACTCCAGGTAAGCAGTGCCAGACCAGAGCCCACACCCCGAACCTCTCCTGCACCTCAACCACCTGTCCTGAGCCTCCTCCTGCACCACAACCCCCTGCCCTGAGCCCTCTGCTGTACCCCTCCTGCACCTCCACCCCCTGCCCTGAGCCCTCTCCTGCACCCCGCACTGCTCCTGTACCCCAACCCCTTGCCTTGAGCCCTCTTCTACACACCGCACCACCTCCCACACCCGCACTCCCTCCCGCACCCCAACCTCCCACCCCAGCCCTACATTCATGGCCCTGCATACAATTTCCCCACCCAGATGTGGCCTTCGGGCCAAAAAGTTTGCCCACCCCTGATCTATCCTATAAACTGAGTGAGGGAGGGGTGCTGTGGCAAAAATTGTTTTTAATCATATGATCACATACAATCACAATTTATATACACAAGGAGCTGAATTAAGGTTGCACAGGCAACCTTAACATTGGCATTTTTAAAAGTTTGAGTGCTTGACTTTTCAACTTTCATATAGTTTAATTGTATGTAACTTCCTAAATTTTTATAAAAATCAAACAAAAATAAAAATTCCATTACATGGAGCAATACAGACCTCCACATAGGTCATCAGCAGGGTAGGAATCTTTTAATCCATAGCACGGACTTCTACCACTTGAGCCAATGATGAGTGGTAGCAGTAGAAGGCTGTTATCCTCTATGAGGCCCTGACACCAGAGGGGGATGAAATTCACACTCTGACAGAAATTTTCACAGCTCTTTGCTCGACAGCAGAGGAATGTGGGGGCTTGATATCCTGGTTTTAGTTGCAAGTTCTGGAGAAGAGTGTTCTCTAGGGGTTACAGCCCTCACAGTCTGACCCCAACAAAACCTACTCCTCAAAAACTCGGCATTTGAGTCAGGATGCTTTCCCTTTCTCCTCCCTGCTGCCTGGGCACCTGCAGAGAGAGCACTGAGAGCACAAAAAAGTTAGTCTCTCTGCTCTTACTTCTGGTGCCTTGCACCACATGATCCCAGCGCTGCCGGGCAGAACCAATACAAGGAAAGTCCTGCTCAGCTACTACAATCATGGACTGGAGCATGCTCAGTGCAGACAATGTTCAGGGAACTTTGCTCCCAACCTCTAGCAAATCTCTACAGATCATGGAGAAATGGTGATTTTCAGAAGCATATAACAGCTAAATTTGGTTGTATTTTCACAGGGATGACAAAGGCATCTCTCTGACACCATGGCACCCTCCACACATCACATTTCAAGTCCTTGATCCAATGTATGGAGGCACTAGAAGTTCTCAATGAAAAGGTTGCAAGACCTTTTTTAAAATGGGCTAAGCTTATTTCCCCTAACCTTGTTCTTGGAAATGCTAAACAGTTTTTGCTGAAGCTTTTAAAAACATTTAGTCTCAAGACAGCCAGGGCTGTAAAACAAGGTCTTATAATAGAAAGCATCAAACAACCTCAGCGAGGTGTTACTTCCAACTGCATCTATAATGTCATCTCTTGTTTAAACATTAGTCTTTCAAAAACACTAATCCTAGAATATAAATGGTCAAGCAGGACTTTGGGTGGAAGATCAAGAGAGCTGGACACTGAACCAGGATAGTAGAACTGAGGACACAGAGTTTGGAGTCTTCTAGTCTAAAGTTACCGTCAGAGTAATTCTAGTGCCCCAGCTGCTGCTCAGAGCCTTGTCCAGTGGCAACATGAAGTTAACATGACTGGTAAGTTTTATGGCTCCTATTCAGAATCCTGTGGTCTGTAGTGAAACTCCCAAGAATCAAGTCAGTTCTATAGTACTGCTGCTGCTGGATTGCTATAGCCCTGAGCTATAGCTAAGTCACTGGAGCTATCCTCTGGAGAGGAGAACTCACAAAAAGGAAACAGGGTAGGGTACAATAGCTCAGACACCTTCAAGGCAACAGGGAGATTGGGGATGGATAGAATAGCAAAAGACTCTCCTGCTCTCCTAGTAGACAGGACGGTGGAGAAGAAGCAAAGAAACTCCCTACTCTGGTGAAAGTCAGAAAGATATACTCCCACCACAACCCAAATAACCCAGAGGCCCTGGTATTGCCGGGGTGGGGGTGGGGGGGCAGGAAGGAGGAGAGAGGCGTGGCAGGAAGGGTTCTCCCATTTTCCATCTGCCAGAGAAGGCTGGGAAAGGAACTAGTAGCCAAAGACTGGTACAAGAGACTGAGTCCCTGAACAGGGCCCAGGGACATACACCTCCCAGTACCCTACCCATTGCCCAGCAGTAGAGTGCTGGGCTTTTCACCAGGACATTGCCTCAGGTCTTTTCTGATCCCTCACTCCTCCCTACATCTTTCATATTAACCCCCAGCTAGTACATATCTGCTAAATTTTTCATGCCTTATGTCATCACAAAACTCCCAGAAAAGAGCTCAATATATTTAGTTTAACAAAGAGAAGGGTAAAATCCTACATGAGGAAGAAATATTTAATAATAAGCTCTTCAGTCTAGCAGAGAAAGCTCTAACTTGATCCAATGGCTGGAAGTTGAAGCTAGACAAATTCAGACTGGAAATAAGGTGCACATTTTTGACAGTGAGAGTAATTAACCATTGGAACAATTTACCAAGGGTCTTGGTGGATTCTCCAAAACTGACAATTTTTGAAATAAGATTGGATATTTTTCTAAAAAATCTGCTCCAGGAATTATTTTGGGAAAGTTCTGACCTATGTTATACAGCAGGTCAGACTAAGTGATCACAATAGTCCCTTCTGGCCTTAGAGTCCATGAAACTCCCCATTCTGCCCCGTTTTATGCACCCCCTGCATAACTGCAGAGACTACCACCAGCAGAGCACAATACTTTGCTGAAACTCCTCCTTGACCTAAATGCCCTATTTTGCCCAAGTCTTTCCTCTCCCCCAGCCATTTTCCATATCTGAGATGCCCTTTTTCAAGCCTGGCACTAGTGGCATATCCCATGGGAGACCTTAGAAAGGATTTGTTTGGGAAAAAAAGTTTCCTCCAGTTTTTCTCATTTGTCACAAGAAGGGACTATCCCCTTCTAGAAACAGAGTTGCAAGCTCCATTTATACAAAATATTGGTGGTCATTTTTTCCCCTTACCTTGCCCAGGACAGTGAGGCATGGTTTAGGCTCCAACTCAGGCTGTTCCAGTTTCACCACTCCTACCCAACCATATTCATACAAGTCCTCTTCATCATTGCTATTACACAGTCCCAGTGGATGCATCTGAAACAGAACAAGGGGAGATGAGGAGAAATTGGTAAAGGCGTTAACCAAAACATTAACACGAAAACAAGACAGTGTTCATTATGATGGAAGTAACAAAATATTCTACTGGTGGCCTTAATACAGAGCAGTATATTTATCAGTCAAATACACACTAAACAGAGAAATATCTGCTTGCTGTTCAGACAGTGGCACGTCAGAAAGTGAGAGAAGTTCCATAATTCACTGATGTCCCATCACTTCAGATTGCTGATGTAAGTCTTATTATAAATAAAGGGACCAGTCTCTTCCTTTAAAGATAGAAGGTAAAGGTGACTAAAGCATCTTTTAAAGGCACCTAGAGTTAGGTTCCTGATCTTGAGACTGGAACAGATACCACCAACTAGACTGAAGGGAGGAGGCAGCCAATCACTTGAGTGTTTTGGTACACTAGTGGAAAATCCTCTCCATTTGGATGCAGTGGCCTCTGCATAACTATAACAGAGAACATAAGAGTATGGTTTCGTGAGGGGCAACATCATAACCTGGTGCTGAGCTCTGACTAGGATTTAATATTTGCAGTACAGTAGCCTCCAGAGACCTGCATCAGAATCATGAACCCATTGTGTGATGTGCTAGAAGTTCCCATCTGGATCCCTCTGCAGCCTGGGTCAGTCACCCAACCAATCTGGCTCACTTTCTACCTCTGCAAAAGAAAACAATACTCTTCTTCCCACGTGATACGGTGGGTGGTGGTGGATTAATGCTTATGAAGCACTTTGGAAAATGAAAATGCTGTTTTAGTGCTAAATATTTTTACTGTAGTCCTTACACTTCTGATCTCAATTGTGATTTGCCAGAACTCAGATTTGCCAGTAACAGATGGATGGGAAACCAGTGGTGCAAAACAGTTAGGAAGCCAAAAGCAGCAAAGCACTCCAAATGAAGATTGATAGTGTCAGACAAATCAGCAATTACTTTGATCTTAAAATGTTATTCCAGTCTAGAGTTTTCCTCAAACAGGGAGCAGCCCAGCACAGTCCTCTCCTTGAGTAAGGGCAGTGAATAAATATACCCAGGGGCCACTGCAACAGTAACCTAGAGCATTTGCACTGACAAACTTACAGAAGAATACTCCCAGACCAAAACAAAAAAACAAACAAACACACAACTAACATTGCAACAGTGCCCAAAGGCCTCAGCTAGGATCGGGACCCATTGTACTAGCTATGGTACCGAGATATTGTCTCTGCCCCCAAACAATTAATTATCTAATTTGAAAAGAGACCCAGATAGACAGTGTGAACCAGGATCATAAAAAATAAAATCCCTGCAGTTACCACAGGTCAGATAACAAACGATCTGATGGTTCCAGATCATCTGAAAGAGGTAGCTCCTGTAATGCAAAGGCAGGTGCAAATGTGTGTATTGGGGAGTCACCCAAAGAGGGCAGGTTAAGGTTGCATGGCATGTACCTGAACTCCTCCTCAGCACTGCACATACGCCTGTCTAGATGTCTTGTGAGATCTGCAATCTTCGCCCCCTGCACGCAATTTACCACATGGTTCTCCCAGTCACCACAAACCCAACTATCTATATTCTAATAATCAAATCCCCATCACTATTATCTGGCTCTTCCTAACAGGGGTTCCCATACCAGGAGGGGTATCCTCAGTGTGAGAGGATATCATGACATCATCTGGAAGGCAAGTCCCAACTATAGGATTGTTTCCCTCCACTCCAGCTTGATATTCTTCTTCCCCAAGACTTTCGTCCTCCTTAACAGCACAGAGGCTGTCAGACTGGGCGTGGGACCATTCTACCACGTCCCTGAAAGTCTTGGCTATGTACCTCACATATGTTAAGGGCTGTTATAAAGAAGATGGTAACCTATTATTCTCCACGTCCACCAGGATAGGACAAGTAGTAATAGGCTTCATCTGCAGCAAGGGAGATTTAGAAAGTTTTTCCTAATATCTTAACTAACTACAAAGAAAGTTAAGCTCTGGAACAGGCTTACAAGGGAGGTTGTGGAATCCCCATCACTGGAAGTTTTTAAGAACAAGTTGGACAAACACATGTCAGGAATGGTCTAGGTTTATCTGGTCCTGCTTGAGTGCAGGGGACTGGACTTAATGACTTCTCAAGGCCCCTTCCAGCCCAATTACTCTATGCAGCTCTTTCCTTTGATGACATACATGGGAGTCAGGGACAGGGGCTCACACACACTCCTGGAGGGCCACAGCCCAAGATCACCTCGTACCACAATCACAACTCTGACAAGCTGCTCCAACTAATCCCTCCACTATTAATAAAGCTACACATAATATAAAGAAAAGGAGGACTTGTGGCACCTTAGAGACTAACCAATTTATTTGAGCATAAGCTTTCACCATGTAGCTCACGAAAGCTTATGCTCAAATAAATTGATTAGTCTCTAAGGTGTCACAAGTACTCCTTTTCTTTTTGCGGATACAGACTAACACGGCTGCTACTCTGAAACCTACACATAATATAGTAATTGTAGTTGGGAGTGCATGCAGATAATCCCTAGAGGCTCCAGACAACTCCAACAGGGCAGAGTTATGTTTGCATGGGTTTGTACCTTAACTTTGTATTTCCTAGTTTTTAGAAGTCTGTGTTTTGCAGAACTTAATGTTCTGGAAGGGCACAAAATATCACTGGACTACCCTAACTCTGCATTAAGAAAGTTTTTTGTGAGTGAATATGGTTCTATAGTTAAACCCTCTTCCTGTACAGCAAAACAAACACGATAGCTATTTGACACTACCAATGACTTGGAAGAATAGTGTAGGGCCATGATCTGATCCTTGCTGGACCCCACTAGAAATGCACCCATTCAGTGATGATCCCCAGCTAACAAGTTACATTTTGAGACCTGTCAGCCAGTTCAAAGCAAGTCTACCCCAAACAGTAGCTGGAATATCTGTGCACTGCTGGGAGCAGTGAGCCCTAGTGCATGAGGTGTATTACAGGGGTGACAGAGTGACCACCCAGAGGCTCAAGCACCAAAGTTTTCAGCACAGAATAGATTTTTAGTGGAATAGTGAAGATTCTCATTTTCTGAAGAGTAAAATATTCAAAGAGGGTCTCCCTAACAAACATACATTTACAATGGGAGGAGGAGAAGAAAGAGAGGCAAATCCCTTATCAAACAAAGGACCATGGTTATTAATAAAGTCCTGTATGTAGTGGTGCAGGTGGGCATGTGTCACAGAGCTACAAGATCGGTGCTACACATCCAGCTTTGGAGCAGTCTGTTGGAGGAACCTTTTTGCTGTGCTAGGCCCCCAAGACACCTCACTCTTCCTACAGGGTAGGCCACACAGCCTCACCACCATCTCAGACTGAACCTCTGGGCTTCAGCACTTCTGCTTCACACAGTGAGCTCTGTTCAGCATGTCCAACAGAGAGTTTCCTGGTACAGACTTGTACACTCTTTAATGCACCTTCCCAAATATTTACAGTGAGACTCTGGCAGTGATATCAAAACAGTTGGGTTTACTAATCCACTAGAACACAGCTCAGGAAGCCCACAGGTTAGCATAGAGAAATGAAAGTTAAAGCATAGTTCATTTTGGTCAGCCCATAGCCCCAGCCAAGCTGTAATGCAACTGCATTTTCAGTCTCTGGCTCTCCGTCTTTTATCTGACCTCCTTAGTCAGTTCCCAGGTGAGAGGCCAACACTTTATCCCCCCCACCTCATACATTCCAGTTCTTTGTTCTTGAGCTGGGGTCTTTCCTCAGATTCCCTGATGAGGGGTGGGGAAATCCATCTCCCTCTGGGTTGTTGGTTGCTAGGTGTTAATGTCCTGGTGACTGGGTTTTCCAGTGTCTTCTCAGATTTTCCACTGATACGGAGTCGCTCTCAGCCAGTCCTTTATGATGACCTGTTCAGGCTCAGACCTCTCCCTCCCCCATGTCTCTTAGCCAGCCCTGAGACCGAACATAGACCTTTTTGCCGCCACAGGGTAGCCATGCAAAACACGGGGGAAACCGAGGCACACACAGGATTCATAAAAATATTACAGAAAATTCCCACTTTGTCACAACATGGTACTTGATGAGTATCAGGGAATGGAAAAATTTTGAATCTTATGCCGAACTAGTGTAAGAAGAGCTGTCCTGCCCATTACCTGACTACCTGGGTCTAGACAGGAGTCTCAGGATATTTTTCTATATGAAAGAGAATTTGGTATCAGCAAGGTATAAGCTGTAATGAAAGATTCTCAGTTCTTTTATGTAAAAGGGAAGCACACTGACAACTTAACTACAATTCCAAGAAGAAACTGTTACCATACTGTACAAAAATCATGGGTATTGGAGGGGGCAGATTCTGACTCTGAACTGAGATCAAGAACCATAACATCCCAAATGCTACACACACACACGCGAACAGCAGCATGTTGCATTTACTCTGAATAAGGCATGGGATATGGACTCGGAGTAAACATGTTTATACAGCTAGGAGATATTTTCAGTAGAAGACTTGAGAACTTCTGAATCCCAGAACTAGGATATGTCTGGGAATGACAAAGTTCCAACACAGCTTTGGGGGGAGAAAGGGACTACACAGAAGAAAGAAAACAGTTTACCAAAAGGTGAATACAACAATCAATGCTTTCCTGTAGCAGGAATCCAGAGGAACCTGCATGGCAGACTATTGATGTTCCATCAGCCAAAACTGCAGACACTGGAGGGATGAAAGGAAGAGTTTCCCCAACTTTTACTCTCCTATGCAGCAGAGCTAATGCATTCTTAACTCCTGGCTGCCTCCCTGCAGCACAGAGTTTTTAATGTGTTTGCACCACTGGCGGCATCTTACAGAGATCCATAAACCACAGTGTGAATCGTGAGTACTAAGGCACCTGAAAACCTAAAGAAGAGTTAGCTACTGCTATACCAGTGATAATATCTATAGAAACAAACTGAGAATATTTTTATTTATAGGGTTTTATATGGTGATCACCCTAGTATCTTATTGTACATTTTAACCTTAA